AGGCCGTTTTCAGGGGCCAAAACATGTATTTCCTTCTGAGAAGGAAAACTTACACATCAGCACACACTGAATTAATCAGCGAAGCTTCTGTCTCAGTGTGAGGAACAAAGAAAGTGATTTTTGTTTTTAAACTTCGGTTTCATTTTTGGAAGAATTTGCTTAATACATCTTTGAAAAGATGGTTTCTCAGTTTCCATTTTGAAGAGCTAGTATCTTTTGGTTCAGGCTTCTTCATAATTGTCGTGGTTTGAGAGCTTACACTTTATTCTTCAGAAAAAAAAAAACCCTCTGTCCTCAGCATAAGCTCCATGGTGATGACAACCTCTCACATCATCCTGGATTTTACAGGTTCTCCTTGTTTTATGTAAATTTCCACCCATTTTGTAAACCCTCTGTGTGTACTTTTAACTGATGCTGACAGTTTCAACTCTTTCTTCCTCCATAATTCCCTTACTGCTCAGTAAGTGTGAAAGAGCCCTTAACTGCAGTGCTCCTTCCTACTTTGCATTGAAAATGTTTATGCATTTCAATTTGAGCTTCACCATTCTTAAATTACATTCCCAGAGAAGACTTTTCCCCTTTGAATATTTGATAAGATTCTTAACAGAACTTTCTCTTCATAGTTTTCCAGTGTCTATGTACCTGTTCTATTTTCCCTTTCCCTAGCTTTGACGCTACAATGTACTTTATATTTTCAGTCCCCTGAATCTATTTTTCTCATTGTAGAATCCTTTGCTTTTTTATTATTCAATCTTAACTTGGTACTTTAAATTTTTTGCTTATTTCTTTGGGGACCATTTCAAAGTAACTTTAATATGTGGCAAGCTAGAAATACCCATTATTAGATCAATAAATTGATTAGATACATTTCCTAGTTGCACATCATTTAAATGTCAATGTACCAATGCTGCCCATAGATAGAACAAGGATCCTGAGTTCTGTCTTCTGGTTAGTGTCTTCTTTCCCTCCTCTAGGACTTCTGTGTGTTGCATTCTCCTAAGCATCTTTCCAGCTTCTCTCTGATATCTCTCCCCAAGACCATACCAAATGCCCAGGTATGAAATTATTTATCGGGGCTAGAGCGATGATTCAGTGGGTAAAGTGCTTGCTAGGCAGGCATGCAAACCCAAGTTTATCAGTCAGGATTTTTAGTATGATAAATCAGCCCCAAACTTGGTGCTTTAAAAGAAAAATAGTCTCCATCTGTTGCACAAAGAAACTTCTTCGGTGAGTAGTTAGAAGTCACTTGTCTGTAAATATAAGCACACATATTTAGAATACAGTAAGAAGTTGGTCTAGGAATGTGACAAAAGTAGGTTTGTCTCTAGGATCTTTACCCTCTCCAGCCATGTGGATTTGGCTCTGTTTACAGTGTCACATGAGTTCACTCAGATTGAGCAGGCCTTAAGTCCAATAAGACAGGACCCCATTGATTATCCCAAGATGAAAGTGCCACTACTGCACCAGTAGATTTTTGCTGGGCTGGCCATTGTCGTGATTCACATGCATTGCACTTGGATGAGATCATTGGTTGGCTTTCTCCCTTGGCAATTTGCATAGTATCTTCTGATACTGTGAGAGCTGGTCTTCAGGGAGGAGGCTTCCAGGTCAGTCCCAGCTCCATTGCTCCAAGTCCTGTGTCTAAAGTGTGTTCTATCTTCAGCAATAGGGCTTTACCTTCAAGTTCTGGGAGGCAATCAAAGGATGTGTCTCTTAAATTATCCTGACCAACAGCTTTAAAGAGATTTCCCCTGCCTGGCACTGAGTTTTTTGTTATACAGCCTTCAACTATCCTGAATATAATATAGTATTTTTCAGTAGGTTTTTGAACTAACACATTTCCCTCTGTTTTTTCCAACCATCTAAGCATTATTTATCTCTCCTCTTACTCATCCTGCATAAACCTCCCTATTCTCTTCCCATTAAGGCAGCCCCCGTTTTGCCAACTCCTCCTTGATAACACCTCTTCCTACTGTCCCTGTATTTCAAGATCATTCTTCCCTTTTACCTCATGGTTTCCTTCTTTCCTGGTTCCTACAGTTACTTCATGGTGTGTACCCACATCTAAGGATATGGAGCTAGGAGCCATGATGAGAGGGAACATGCATTGCTTGGTTTTCTAAGTCTGGGTTATTTCACTCATTACTACAGTTTCTAGTTTCATCCATTTACCTGCAAATTTCATAATTGTGTCTTTCTTTAGCAATAGGTAGAATTCCATTGTATAAATGTACCACATTTTCATTATCCATTCATGATTTGAGGGGCATTTAGGTTGTTTCCATCTCCTAGCTATTGTGCAGCAAACATAGCCAAGTCCTTTGGTACATGTCAAGGAGTGGTATAACTGAATCATACAGTGTATCTATTAAATAAGCTTCTTTTGGCAACATATGGAGACTATTGCAAAGTTCAACAACCTGTAAAATGCACAGAATTAGTGTCTGTGAGGTTTTTAGGCCTAAGTGACACATTTACAATGCAACCTCTATACTAAAGTCTCGGGGCACATAGCAGAACAGGGGGCAGCTCTCACCTCTCATCAGCAAAGCTTCCTCATACAACAGATTGTGATTAATTCAGAGACCCACAACTGGCCAAAGTTCAGAGAATGAAAGACTGAAGATTGCTTTCCATGAACAGGATACCTCTGCCACCCGAGGCTCAGGACCGTTGTGGAAGAGGGTATGGAAAGATTGTAAGAGCCAGATGTGGTAGATGACCACAAGGAAACAATGTTTCCCAGACACCTGGCAATTTATTCTCATGAATTCTCAGCAGTAGTAACAATATGTACAAGACCTGTGCAAGCTCAAGCCAGACAAATTCCTTGCATTGAAGTGGGGAGGAAGCCCCACCTGTAACTGAGTAACTATTGGCAACCAATAATGCCCCAGAGAGAGTCAACTTTCTTTAAGGGTGTGATTCTAGGGAGGTCAACCAGGCACTGGTGTATGGATGCACACCACAGGACATTTGGGGACTTTAACTTGACTCTGTAAGCCTTAATCTATGTGACCGAGTACATGAAATCCATCATGGGGACTACAAGAGAGGTTTGGATGGGGCAGGGGGCTTCTAGCTTCTAAATATGATAAAAACATATTATATGAAATTCGCAAAATTCAATCACAAAATTATATATATGAAAATATATATGGAAAAATATGAAACCTATATGGAACATAATCATATATAAGAAAGTAATGTAGGAGAGTGGAGCAGCTGGGACCCATCTTTTCCTGCAGGAGCTCTATGCACAGCAGCTTGGGCTTCCTCACATCATGGCGGCCTCAAGCAAGAGGATTTGGTTTCACTGAAGTTGCTCATGTCAGGCCACTATTCAAGGAGAAACACAATGGTCATACATTCCAGGTCAGAAATCACAAAGCAAGTGTGATGTGTCTGTATTTTACAGGTTGACATCATTGTCAAGTCCACCCAACTGCAGCTAAGAGACAATCCAACACTCAATGGGCACAAAAATCTTTATTGTAAATATATATATGTAGTTTTG